CAATTGTTTATTGGAGATTAAAGATACAAATATAAGCATTAGGTTCTGGTTTTTTCTTTGAACCTTTTTCTCTATAATTCTTTTTTTGATACAATCTTTCTTCTTCTCAGTCCATGTGATGATGGTATCAGAGCCCATCTCAACTTCTACAATTTCTCATATTTTTCTTTTAATTTATACTTTTGAAGCTCCGTTGTGCAATTTGGGGTCAAAGCCTTTTTCTAAATTTATGAAGTTTTCAATTTCTCTTAAATTCTTATGTGTTCTTTTCTGAATTTCCGGTTCTTTTAAGTTACCTTTGCTTCCTAGAGCTTGGTGTAGACGAAGAAAACCCAAGGGGGAGGGGGTAAAACAACAGAAGGGAGGAGGTGAGGGCAGGGGTTTGTGGGGTGGGTGATTGGTTTGGGAATGGAGGGTGGTGGTCATGGGGGAAAGGGAGGAGGAAGGTAGGAGATGGAAGGGGTTGACATTCGGTTTACTCTTTTTCTTCAATTTTTTAACTGAAAATGGGATGAAATGTTGAGAATTTAGACGGTAAATTGGCGGAAAAAAAAAAGATCGTATCCTCAAGTTTGTATAAAAAAAAAAAAAAAAAAGGATAGGGGGTCAATCAAAAGTTAGGTGCAAGTTTAGGGAGCAAATCACTAGCATACCAAAAGATAAATGTTTTTATATGATAAATGTTATTGATATGTGGTCATGTTGGCCTCACAACAACCTCCCAAAACAAGGCACCACATGTCCCATAAAGGTAAATATAATAGATTGTTTATTATAAAGGTAAATTATAATTTCCTTTTGGACTAACGACATTTCACTCCATCGAGGTTTAGGGTATGTATCGAAATGGGCCCCGATGTTTCAATTGCCTCCCAGGATTCGAATATGTCCAAGAGGTTCGAATTGTAGCAGCCTTGCCACACCAACACATCGACACCTCTTCATCCATTACAAGAATAGATTTGCTTCTTGATCTTCTTCGCAACATGACTTAGGGCATGCTCTGTGAGCAGTTTCCTCCGGAATTTATGTTTTGGTCTGAAATGCCCTTTGTGTGGCCCATTGGACTTGGCTTTCAGGATATCTGGTGGGTCTTGCAACTGCTACATTAGCATTTAACATATGACCAGACGGTCAATCTAACGGCTGATGTGAATTCATCAGATTTTGAACTGATGGGTATGAAATTGATGAAATTGAAACCTCGGGGCCCATTTTGATATAGACCCTAAACCTTGATGGAGTGAAATGTTGTTAGTCCTTTCCTTTTTGCCATGTTCTATTTTGTGTGTTGCGACTCATTGTTTTCTTTTAAATTGGTTTTTTTTAATTATATATATATTTTTTTAATGAAAACCTTTCAATTGTTTATTGGAGATTAAAGATACAAATATAAGCATGTGGTTCTGATTTTTTCTTTGAAGATCACCGAGGTCAATTGTAATTGACTGAATCGGTATTTCTCTTGAAGACACTCCTTCAAGCTGAAACGGTTCCTGAACAACATTTGTATCTCGAAGCGTTTCTGCATCTTTTTTCATGCAAGATTCTAAACGTTGGTTAGCGACGTCGACGTCGTTGTCAGATGGGTCTAGTTCTGGTATAGCATACACGTTCCTCTGATCCATCTGCTGAACAACTTTCCACCCGCTCTCGGCTTTAGGGTCATCTATATAAACAATCTGTTTTGCCATGTTTTCCAAAATGTAAGGGTCGTCATCATACCAAGTTCTGTTCATGTTCACAGATAGTAACCCATGATCAATTTTAACACTTCCCTGTCTATTTGGGTTCGTATCAAACCATCGACACTTAAACATGATCACTTGGTATCGGTCTTTGTAAAGCAATTGCACGACAGTTGTGAGTTTGCCATAGAAATCAATGTCCCTACTTTCGCCTCCACCTGGAACATGGACACCGTTATTTTGCGTACACAACCTGTCATCTCGTGCCGTCCCCAAAAACTTGACGCCGTTAACATGGCAACCCGAGAACAATTCAGCCCGAATTGGGCCGAATGCCAAGTTATATAACTCTAAACTGTAAGTGGGGGGATTCTATGGTTTCAACTTGTTGGCACTAAAACTGAACAGATAGAGATGAGTGCAACTTACAAGTGGTGAGGACGATCTAGCAGATCGATTGAGTGATAGATGCAGATTCTTCCTGTCCTTGGATGTTGATCATGAATAGAAGGAAGCCAAGACTCGTAAGGTCTATGGAACCGGTGTGGAACTAGCCTAAGACCCTCCGATGCCAGAGTAAGTTTGTTTTCTAAGAGCTTTTGCTGTTGACAATATATTAGTATAAAAGTCAAGCTGAAAAGTCTTACCGCTGTATTGTAGTGAAGGGGCCTATTTATAGAGGGCATTTTGTATGCTCTTAGTGCTTAATTTTGATGTGGGACTCCCTTCCCTTTGCTTGGATTGGCTTGGGAATGCTTGGCCAGATATTGTACAAACACAACTTATTCACCTAATATTATACAAAAACATTCACGGGCAGTCCTTATCTAGTTATTGGAGAATCCGCTATTTTGCCGCTAGAGTTTGTGGATGAAACTAAGGAAAGAAGTCTAATAGCTGGGTGGTGCCCACAAGAGCAAGTCCTTAACCACCCATCAGTTGGAAGATTTTTAACGCACAGCGGTTGGAATTCAACAGTTGAGAGCATTACTGCAGGAGTTCCTATGCTTTGTTGGCCATTCTTCGCAGACCAGCAAATGCCCCATTGGCATGGAGATTAGTAATGGTGTGAAGAGGGATGAGGTAGAGAAGCTTGTCAAAGAGTTAATGGAGGATGAGAAGGGTAAGAAAATGAAAAATAAGGTCATGGAGTGGAAGAAACTTGCAGAAGAAGCTACTGGTCCACATGGTTCTTCATCCACAAACTTACACATTTCCATTGCCATTGTCTCAAATAATCGACTAGCTAGCAATTAATATATATGTACTACTATTTCCATAAGATTATTATTATCCTTCTTCGTATAAACCCTAGAAACACTGATGTCATAGTCACTCATTCTCCGGAAAAACCCCAAACGCATACATTGTGATCTTCTTTGAGATTACTGATTCAGCAATGACAACAAGAAGATAGAATGCTTGGAAAGGCGTGAGACAAAGTAGCCATGACTCGTTTTTCCCTTTGTTACTATCTTACTGATGAAGAAGAACCTTTAGAAATAGAAATGGAATTGTAAGGGTTTTTGCATTGAACAAGAAACAATTTGCTTTTCTTAAAGGTGACCCTATAAGCATTTTGAACCCAATAATTCAATTCTAAAATTAATGGACAATTCTTTGTTCCTGATTGTTATTATTTCTTATTAGACAAAACTCAGGAGAGTGAAACCCAATCCCACTCAAATCCGTTAGAAAGTTTCCAATTGTTTATTTCATTTCATACTACATACAAAGTTAACAGCAGCTTGAGTAAAAAAGATTTAAAAAGAAGAAGATACTTTTAATTAGATGCCCCATTTCAAACCATAGACACCCCTCTAACGGGAGCTTGATTAGAGACAAAACCACTCGAATTAAAGAGTTATTTCACCATAATGTCCTTTTTAGTCATTATACACAGCTCACAACACTTTTGCACAAAAATTTATCGAACACTCAAAAACCGATTATTGTACCAACATTACTTTTAATAAAAAGTTTACCAAATGTCAAACTACTTTCTTTCACAATTGATTTCTCTCACAGCAAATCTTACTATGATGATTATTTTCACATCACAACAATACCAAAATAGCCTTGTTTTAGGATCTTATTTCAATTCCTATTTGGTTTAGGATTCCTATTTTAATCCTATTTCCTACCCGTACTATAAACAAGACTTTTAGGAAGTCATGTTATTTGTCGCAAGAGAGTGTCTATAAGTGTGGTTACGAACCAAATTACAAGTGAGTGTGAGGAATTGCTAAAGATTCACTATAGAAGTACAAGGGAAAAATAATTTCAAGCACTCCGAAGTTTTCTTTCAAATAACTAGCCAGGTGATGTTGAGGGATTAAGCCCTCTTCAATTATACACCAAGCGAAGAAGAATCATTGCTAAATGAAGCAAGGAAATTACATAATATTACAAATGAAACTAAGCTCTAATGATCTAAATGTGCTCAAAAATCAAACCCGATCCAATGCATCTTCTTGATTTAATGAATATGGCACTTTTGCTTGAAAAAGGACTTGCACACCGCAGTTCAAACGGTGGCTTTTATTTTGTGTGGAAATTGAGTTTGATTCTTAGTGTGCCATCTGTTTAGCTTTCGAACTTGATTCAAAAGGGAACCCGATCTTTTTTATATGTTTTCTTAATACAAGTCTAAACTACAAAGGGGGAGGGAGTTTCTTACACATACACTACCAATGTGCCACGGAGATTCGAACTTGAGATCATTGGTCTACATGTTAAAACCCTTTTCGACTACTACAAAAAAGTTAATAGACAACGGTTTTTAGCCGTTGTAGAAAGTCTTGTAAAACCGTTGACTTTAGCAGTGTCGTCTTTTCTACGTATTTATGACAACGGTCAGGAACTGTTGCAATATGTCACTTTCAACAACGGCTTTCAAGAAAAACCGTTGTCAATTCTCATATATAAAACATGTATACAAGAGTGACCGTTGTAATATGACCCTTTCAACAACGGTTTTCAATGATAACCGTTGTAATATTACCCTTCCAACAACAGTTATTCTATAAAACCGTTGTAATTTGGCACATTCAACAACGGTTGTCAATGGTAACCGTTGTTGTTTATCACCTTCCACAACGGTTCTTACTTAAAACCGTTGTGGTTTATCACCTTCCACAACGGTTGTTATCTAAAACCACTGTTGAAAATAGCATTAGATAATGACGTTTTGGAAAACCCACAAAATTACCAAAATTCCAAAGGAATCATTCACTATGAAAATTGATGGAAATTCACACTAATAATTTATACCACAATATCAATTTACAATTAGAATTCAATGCATGTAAACTACAACAATTTTCACAATAAAAAAATTGTATTTATCTTGTTCCACAACTTCATCGCTCTACATAATGGTCACAAAACTTGCTCACTCATGCCTGACTTCATCCATCTGCTCGTGTGTTGACAAACCTGCTCCCAACAAGCCTTAAAGAATTGCAGGACTCAAGCTGCTTGAGAATAGATAGGCTGTAGCAGAATAAAAACAAAAGCACTCAGTTCAAACTTTAGCAAATAAAAACAAAAAACCATATCCAGAGAATCAGAAAGGCATGACTTACTTCCTGAGCCTGAGCTGGAGATGCAACTTTGCCAGTTCCAATGGCCCACACGGGCTCATAGGCCAATACAACATTGGTCCAATCTAAAACTATTGCTGCAGTAAAAAAACATCTTTTAAATAAGTACATAAAGAAATTGATCCAGTTACAGAACACTCAACAAACATTCTTTCACACTAACAGTAAGCAAGAACTTGGAATTTTAAAATGCACCTGCAATGGCCTTGGTTTGTGCAGCCACAACCTCCACGGTTGAGCCAGATTCTCGCTGCTCAAAAGTCTCACCAACACAAGCAATCACCTTCAAACCTTGAGCTAGTGCATAGGCAACCTTATCGGCAACAAACTGAAACAAAATGTGTGCATAATGAGAAACTAACTATTAAGCAATAGCTAATGATAAATTGATCGAGAGAGAGAGAAGAGAGAGAGAGAGTACCTCATTGGATTCGCCTAAAATAGTTCTTCTCTCATAATGACCCAGAATGACCCAACGAACCTCCAGATTGACCAGCATTTCAGCACTGAATATCACAACAAATCAACTTAACAAGGGAAAAGTCCAGATTGACATAAAATGCACATTCGATGTATACACTTATTTAGCTCATTAAATCCTGTGATCCTGTCACAACCAATTTAAAACAAACCATCTTCGCAGACTTATGCTTTCGTTGTAGTTGCATTCTTTTTTTTTTTTCAGATCAGAAGCCTCATATTCTGAGCTTTCATTTATCAGTAATATTGCTAAAGTATTAAGGGTTTGACCACAGTACCTAAATCATTAACTCTACAAAATATCAGTAATCATACTATTTTTTACTATGTATCAATTTAAAACTAGATGTCGACATCTTGACGCAATGAAACATACTTCTAAATCATAAACATACACACCTAACTTCACCAGTGAAGGCACCACCCTTCTTGACCCAGCAGTTTTGAGCCGCAACATGAAAGTCAGGCCACAACGAACTCTTCACCACTGGAAGAAACACATATGGTGGGCTCACCACAACCTCTAAAATAAGAACAACCCAAAAAACAAATTAACAGTTTGATAACTCATATAGATCACTACCAATTATAGAAGAAGTACAAATATGTCAATCTCATAAGTTCAGGAATATTGGCATAAATTTAGACTTGAAGGCAGAGTCTCATAAAGATAAACAAGAGCACTGAAGTAGAAAAAAATTTGCAAATCAAATCCAAATCAGAAGAAGAACAAACTCACCCACAACATCTTGTGATGGCACCTGTCCCTCATTGAGTATTTTCACAATCTTCTTCACCTCATCGAAGGTTCCATTCTACACGCAGATTCAGATTTAAGTAAATCAGCACTTCGTTCAATCAAACTTAAAGCACAAATCAAATCAGAAAACAAAACACAATTATCTGTTTGGTTGATCAAAAAGTGGCGGAGGGTACAGATACGAAAAACATAAAACAGATCGGTTGATTAAGACTGCAATAAAATACTGGAAATCTGATTTTTCCATTAGTTTCTATGGTTTTCTCAGCAACCAAACAGATTAAAAGGAAAACAGGATATCGCGGATCGGATACTCACGCATTTCCAGTTGCCGCCGACGAAGAACTTCCTGCCCATTTTTTTTTTCTCGATATTCACGAAATCGCAAGACAGAGAGTGTGTGTTTGTGATTTTCGCTTTTCGGGTCTGGCTTTTAACTGCGGCTTTTTCTTGGTGCCCAAGTGTGGGTATTATTATTAGTGGATTCTATTTGCTATGGCCCACTTTATCCCAGGAAATTACGGTTGTGGCCCAGGAAAATCCGGAATATGCTTAATGGATGAGGGGCAGTTTCGTCTATCGAGTTGTGGTCTTGAAAAGGTGAGTGCGATGGCCCACGGGTTTTCTTGTTCCTGTGGCACAATACGTGGGTGGTTATTAGCGGATTTGGTGGAGCCAAGGGAAGCTCAGTCCATAGATTTTGGTACACGTTCATATGGGCCACGGCCCAACTTCATTGGTGTTTTGGAGAAACAACATATGTAATCAAAGAAATTCCATTAGGATCCAAAAATTAGAGATAGTAAACCCTAAACCCTTATCAGATCCATAACTTCTCTCTTTAAGTCTCCATTTCTCCTAAAAATTTATCATCTGTGTACAGCAACAGCCGTAGAGGGCAAGAGAGATGGAAAAGCTAAGCACCTGCAAAGGAAACAAAGAGAGATGGTTAACACCCAAATCACAGTGTCGAAATCAATTGAAACCCTAAATATTTGTTTTCTTTACCTTTGTTGATCGAGGGAGAGCGACCACAAGCCAACACCCAAATGGTTAGATTAAAACCCAAATCAGTAACCCTAAAATTAAAACCCAAATCTCTCTGAACTAGGAGGGAAGAGAGAGAAAGAGACGAGAGAGAGACGAGAGAGAGAGAGAGAGAGAGAGAGAGAGAGAGTGAGACGCGAGAGACAGAGTCTCTCTGTCTATGGCCGTGGCAAAGGCAAGGAGACGAGGTGGGAAGAACAAGACTGTGGAGAGAGGGAGACGCCAGAGACGAGATAGAAGAGAGAATGACAACTATCGGGCCTTAAGAAAAAATATTGAGTCACTGTTCACTCCCTGTTTTTTTTTTTACAGCTTCAATTACAACGGTTGAAACAAAAACCGTTGTGGAAAGTTGTGAAATAAAATCTGAAAATCACATACCCTAAACCACAACGCTTAAAAACCCCCTTTAACAACAGTTATTACATAACCGTTGTGGAAGAAACAACTACAACGGTTTTGTAGCCAACCGTTGTGAATGAAGCGTTTTCTTTTTGAATAATTGTAGTAGTCAGGTGAATTTTTAGGAGAAATGGAGTCCGAGTTGTCCAAGTCCAAACTATAACTTAGGCTAAGTTGTCCAAGTCCAAACTATGTAAATCAAATATTAGCCCACCCGCTATGTAGAAATAAGGCCACCTCTGCAGAAATTCCAACTATTGGATTGATTGGAATCATTGGCGGAGCCAATTAAGGCCCACAAGGGTCACTTGACCCTTCTCAACATTTTGAAAATATTGTATTTATCTATGTTATCCAAGTTGTTTTATATCTATATTTACTATATTGACCCTTCTCACAAATGTAAATTGTCTACAATGAACATGAATAAGGTGCAAGAAAAACCATTGTAGGTGCTTGAAATTGCCACTTTGCTCAACTGGTGGATAGATTACCTTATTTCTATTTTCAACATTTAAGTAAATGTCTTTGTCCTTTTACTTTCATTTATTTTTATGTTACTCCATTTACTTAAGTTTACAATGTAAATAAGGAAGTACCCCCCATTTGGATTCAAATAAAAATACTAGAAAATCAAATTCCCACAAAATCAAAATATGAAAAATCGATTTTAGTGCAAAATACGATTTAGGCTAAAAATGATGGCTGATTAAGTCAATATATACTTCATACTAAAATCGAATAAAATCAAGTTTTCTTATTTGATGTGTAAGGAATAAAAGCCGCCAAAAATTATCTTGAGAAAATGATTATTCCGGAAAACCATTTTTCATACTTAGTCAATATTGCACCTCCGCTAAAAAATTTATAGGTCCGCCAGTGTCTTCATATGTCATTTATATGTATGTGTCATGGATTTTATTTGATTTTCTCATTCTATCTAAAATCAACTTTTAATACTCTTTCATTATTTTTAGGTTGCTAGAATTTGGGTTATACTTACTAAGATATTAAATTTGTGATATTGAAATTTAATCATTATAATAAATTTTTATATATATTTTCCTATAAAAACTAAGTTCATTGTAATTATAAAGCTATTTAAAGTTGACCCTCCTTGATAGAATTTCTGACTCCGCTAATGACTGGAATCCATGTTATGCAACTTTGGAGCCCGTTTGATTATGCATGTTTATAATAAAGATAAATAATTTTTATGTAATAAATGTTGTTGATATGTGGTCATGTTGGCCTATAAATAATCTGGATTTGAGCAAGTCATGCAACACGCACATACATTATATCACAAAACCTAAGATGGCTTCCCTGTAGTTTCCAATAACCCTCATGCAGTTTGTCTTCCTTTGCCAGCTCAAGGCAATCCTCAAATTAGCAAAACTCCTCCGCCATAGAGGCTTTCACATAACCTTTGTCAACAGAGTTCAACCACAAGCGCTTTCTTACATATCTTGGACCTAATTCCCTTGATGGCCTGCCTGATTTTCAATTCGAAAAGATTCCAGACGGCCTTCCAGAATCAGATGAAAAGGCCACCCAAGAGGTCACTTTGCTTTGTGAGTCGTTCAGAAATTTCTTGCTCTTGGCTCCGTTGCGTGAGCTCGTAAAACTCAATGAATGGGGCAGTGGCATGGAGATTGATAACAATGTCAAGAGAGATAAAGTGGAGATGCTTGTTAGAGAGTTGATGGAGGGAGAGAAGGGTAAGAACAATGGCGTCATGTTCAGTTAATGAAATTTAAAAAATTAAACCTTTTATGGCCACGGAAACATGGTCTAACACTAAATATAAAATAAAATAAGAAAACTAAACTTGCCATGGCCACAGACATAGTGGCTTGTGTATTTGAGGCCACATGTGTATAAAAATGGTGGCTTTAGATCATTAATAGCCACAATTTACCATGTAGTGGCTAGGAGAATTGTGGCTTATAATATGATTTTCTAGTAGTGTTTTGCTTGTATGTGCAATCCTTTTTTTTATGGGCTTGTTCAATATAGGTCCCAAAAATTGCTATTTCCTATACATATACCCATCATTCTATAAATCTATGTGTAAAATCCAATTTCAAACTTAAATGACCAGTAGGATATAAGAGGTCATAGTATTCCTATGTTTTTACATCGTTACCATCAGACTTCATATTTTATTTATAATTTATTCCAAGCATTTCATTAACTACCATAATTGTAATTAAAACTCCCTATTAATAGCATCAATCACCCCATTTTTTTCCCTCTAACATATCGCCCCCTAAAATTGCAAACCAAAAAAAAAAATATATGTACATATGAAAAATATAAATATAAATATATACGTATAAAAATATAGGTATATTATTTACCAAGAAAAAAAAAAAAAAACTAGGTCAAAAATAATCTGCAGTTGCAACCAATGACTAACTTGCTACTTCATCTCATTACCTCAATTTGTCTGACAGCTAGACTTCTTTTTTGGACACATTGAACAGTAGCTCAGTTTTGCTTTATAAATAATCTGCATTTGCAAGCACTGCAATTCACACACAAAAGCTCAGATGGATTCCACAGAAGTAGCTACCAAGCCACATGCTGTTTGCATTCCATTCCCTGCTCAAGGTCATATAAAGGCAACGCTTAAATTTGCAAAGCTCCTCCACCACAGAGGTTTTCATATAACCTTTGTTAACACAGAGTTCAATCACAAGCGTGTTGTTAATATTATGTTAACTCGCAATTGTACGGGGCAATTAGTAGTATAGCAAGACAAGTACGAGGTCGTACCCAC